GGCCTCTTATAAAATCAAAAAAATTTCAAGTAGTTAAAGAATTCTTTCAAACAGGGAAGTTATACAGAGCAATCAACGGCACAACTATCACAATTCTTCCTAAAGTTCCTAACCTTTCAAGCATCAAAGAATACAGACCAATATCTTGCTGCACAGTACTATATAAACTCATTGCCAAGGTATTGGCCAACAGAATTCAGAAAGTTATTGCTTCAATAATTTCAGATACACAAGCAGGGTTCATCCTAGGTAGAAATGTGGCTGATAATGTCTTGCTTGCTCATGAGTTGGTCAAGGCTTATTCAAGGAAGAACATTTCACCAAGATGTCTCATCAAGGTGGATATCCAAAAGGTTTATGATACAGTGGATTGGAGATATTTATAGCAAATGCTAGAAGGTTTGGGCTTCCCAAACAAATTTACTAAGTGGATTATGGAATGTGTGAAAACTGTTAACTATACTATACTCATCAATGGAGAAACAACTAAACCATTTGATGCAACTAAAGGACTAAGGCAAGGGGATCCAATGTCACCTTTTTTGTTTGCTATGGCAATGTAGTACTTGAGCAGAAATTTGAAGACTTTGAAGCACGAAAAGGCATTCCATTATCATCCCATGTGTTCAAGGCTGGATTTAACTCACTTGAGTTTTGCGGATGATCTCTTACTATTTGTAAGAGGAGATGCTACATCTGTAGCATTACTACATGACAGATTCAATATTTTCTCAGGAGCATCAGGTCTTAAAGCTAACCTAGCCAAAAGCTCTATTTACTATGGAGGAGTTAACCTAGAAGTGAAGCATAACATACATCAAAAACAAGGTTATAGTCAAGGATCTCTCCCTTTCAGATATCTGGGCATACCACTTGACACAAAGAAACTCTTTGTAATGCAATGGAAGCCACTCATTAACAAAACAGTGGCTAGAATATCCTCTTGGACAACAAAGAAGCTCTCATATGCAGGCAGAATCCAATTGGTGCAACATGTAATCTTTGATATTCAAGTTTATTGGTCACAAATCTTCATCATACCAGTTAAAGTTGTTGAAGCAATAGAGACCTATTGTAGAAGCTATGTGCGGTCGGGGGAGAATATAATCACTAAAAAAGCTTTAGCGGCACGAGATAGGATGTGTGCACCTAAAGCAACAGGGGGACTTAACTTGATCAACTTGGCATTATGGAATAAGGCAGCAATCACAAAAACATGCTGGGAATTGGCAAACAAGAAAGATAAGCTTTGGATCAAATGGATCAATAGCTACTAAATTAAGAATCAAATCTTTGCCATCATGGAAATACCAAAATAGGCATCTTGGATGGTAAGGAAAATATTTGGAGCAAGGGGTAATATGGATGGAATCAGTAATAGCCAAGCTAACCAAAGGAATGTAATCAAGCAGGTTTACTTGCAACTATTAGGAAAGCTGCCTAAAGTCCCATTGAAAGGTTTAATGTATCAGAATCAAGTACGACCAAAAGCAATCTTCACAATGTGGATACAAATAGAGGAAAGACTGCTCACTACTGATAGATTGAAGAACTGAGGAATACAAGTGGATGATACATGCTGCTTTTACAATCAAGCACCAGAAACAAGGGATCACATTTTTGCAGAATATGCATATGGTAGAAATATATGGTCCAGACTCATGCAATGGCTATAAGTACAACAATCATTTACAACATCATGGTCTGAATGGCAGAAGTGGATTGTAAAGAAAATAAAGGGGCAATCTCAACTGGCCAGGATACTCAAACTAGTTTTTGCAGAATATACACACACAATGTGGATTGAGAGAAATATAAGGATATTTGAGAAGAAAGCAACAACATGGGATGTCTTTGCAAGGAGAGTGGTCTGTATGTGCAATATTAGAGCTGAGGGTTATACTCGTATCCTTTTAACAAATGTAAATACTGAGTAGTTATCTTGAGAGAGAAATGTATAAAGGAGATTAGGAGGTAGGGAAGATATAAAGTGAGTTTTTTTCCAGTATGGAAGTAGGTCGTGGTAATTTACTGCTTTGTAAATATTTACAAGGGTGGTCAATACAAAGATTTTAATTACCAAAACAAAAAAACTACATCTGCCCATGACCATAGTGACTACTGACTAATAGTATGTTTGGCCCTTTTTTTTGTCAAAAGTATCTTTTCAAAATTAAAGTGTTTGTCCAAGCATTTATAAGAAAAGAATTACTTTTGAGTAGATGTAGAAGTAATTTTTGAAACGCAAAAAAAAATAGCTTCTTCCAAAAATATTTTTTTTAAAAGCATTTTTGAGGAAAATATACTTAAAAACACTTTATAAACTTGATCAAATATTAATTACTGTTTAAAAGTATTTTCAAATGGATTAGTCAAACATATAATGCTTTCACTAAAAGTAATTTTTTAAATTTTTAAAAAAATTTACGTTTTAAGATAAACTGATTTTAAAGTAAAAATTGCATGGGGTGCTCTATTTGGTCGCCACCTTTTAATTTATACCCGTTTTGTTTTTTCGTTTGCATCTGTACCCATTTTTTTTTATTGTTAAAAGCGTTTTAAAAAGACGATTTTACTCTTCAGGACTATTGACAAAACTGTAGACTGCAGGACAAAACTTCAGCATGTTTTGGCATGAAGTTTTAGCAAATGAACTAAATAACTTAAGCATGTTTAGTCTGAAGTTTTAGCAAATGAACTAAATAACTTAAGCATGTTTAGTCTGAAGTTTTAGCAAATGAACTAAATAACTTAAGCATGTTTAGTCTGAAGTTTTAGCAAATGAACTAAATAACTTAAGCATGTTTAGTCTGAAGTTTTAGCAAATGAACTAAATAACTTTAATATGCATTAGTAAAAACTCATTAGAAAATTACATACTGCAAGACAAAAACATAAACATGTTTAGTCTAAAGTTTTCGCAAATCTATACTATATTAAAAGTACGAAGGCCTTTAGCGAAATATCGTTCGCCTTTTTTTACTCTTAAAAGTATATTTCATATTGGATAGAGCAGTAAATTAGTTATTTTCCTAATTTTTAATACTTTAAAATTAACTAAAATTTTGATTATTAAATTATTTCTTATTTGAACGATACCAAATACACTAAATCTCCTTTAATAAATAAACTACTAATATTTAGAAATTTGAGATCATTAACAAAATTCAAAGTCTATATTCATTTCCCAAAAAGAAAGTTCAACGTCTATATGAATGGAAAAAATCTTAAAGCCTACGACAAAGCATGCTTCCAACAATCATACCAAATCGGGTGGCAATTCACCTAAATACAAAATTAAGTTTTTTCTTTCTCCATTTATTCTAACAAATGACTAAATGTAGTTTTTATGAATGAGGTTGTAGATTACGCGATTTATCAAGAGTGTAAGTGTTATATTATTGTGGATTTTTATCAACTGGCTATCAAATTCATAATTTTTAAAAATAAAATATATAGTAAAAAGTGGACATAAATATAGGATACGGCCGTAAATCCCCCTCTTTTAACAGCATGACTAAACAGGCTATAAATAAATTCCAGCATCATTCCTTTTGTAGATTCTGCCTCAATATTTAACTCTTGTTGATAGTAGGAGCGCTAATTTGCCGAAATGTAATTGAAAACCAACAGGAATTATTATAATATTTTTAATATTTGGTTATAAAGATGGTATTAATACTAATATATTAAATTTTATGGTGTAGATCGTTCTTTTGAATTATTCGCGCATCGCGCGAGTACTAATACTGATTGAAAACCAACAAGAATTATTATAATGGCCTACGAATGCCTAGGGATGTGTGAGCTTTGGAACTATCGCCCGCGGACTCCCATACTCTATCTTCTAATTAATCTCATCTCTTTTGTTGGACCTTGGACCAAAATAAATTTTTTATAACAAACCTAAAAAACAAAAGTGAAATATTTTTAAGTACATTATCCAATAATATACTGCCGCGCCACCATTAATAATTTTATTTAATAAATTTTCTAAGACAAACAAAAAAATTAAAATTACTAGAGTCAATCGAACTCATATCCTGCATACTAGCTCTGCCCCTATACATGGCGGTCTTAATACATGAAAAATGGATAAATTTAGTCATATATTTAAAATCGAGCAATTATGTCATTCATTAAACTTATAGTCTCATTTTATAAATATTGTCACGAAACAATCTCATTTTTGTCTCTTTTCCTAATTGTGCTTCAATTTGAGAATAATTTTAACTCATTGCCTGAAGTTAATGAGTAAATTTAGAATTTTTTTCCCGAAAAATTTAATATGTAAAGTCTATTAATAGACAAGAAGGGTTGCTCTGATGGTAAGCAACTTCCACTTCCAACCAAGAGGTCGTGAGTTCGAGTCTCCCCAAGAGCAAGGTGGAAAGTTCTTGGAGGGAAGGATGCCGGGGGTCTATTTGGAAACAGCCAGTCTCCCCAAGAGCAAGGTGGAAAGTTCTTGGAGGGAAGGATGCCGGGGGTCTATTTGGAAACAGCCAGTCTCCCCAAGAGCAAGGTGGAAAGTTCTTGGAGGGAAGGATGCCGGGGGTCTATTTGGAAACAGCCAGTCTCCCCAAGAGCAAGGTGGGAAATTCTTGTAGGGAAGGATGTCGGGTTTCTATTTGAAAACAGCCTCTCTACCTCAGGGTAGGCGTAAGGTCTGAGGTTGTGAGTTCGAGTCTCCCCAAGAGCAAGGTGGAAAGTTTTTGGAGGGAAGGATGTCGGGGGTCTATTTGGAAACAGCCTCTTTACCGGGTTGTTGTTGTTGCTCGAGCTTGTTAATGATAAGACAAACATTAAATAATTTGCTAATAATAAAGATATAAATGAATCGTGTAATATTGAGCAATCCATATCACAGGGGCAAACTTGGAAATATCACTTTGAAAATTGATGTAAAATTATCTGTCACAATCCTTATCTTTGTTACTTATGGGGATTTGCATCCAAACGCAGCCTTACGTCATTGTTAACGGTACCGTCACGACATTACTCTTTCCATAAATACCACTTTCTCTCTTCACTAAAACCTTCTCAATAATTTCATTCATCTTCTCCGATCACTTTCTCCGATTTTCTGTGTTAAAAATTCATCGGAATTTTTCAGTTTCATAGCAAAAAATGAGTAGCAATCCAAAGGGAAGAACAACAATTGAAGTAGGAGCTGATGGAGTTGCTGTTATTACAATTATTAATCCTCCTGTCAATTCCCTTTCCTTAGACGGTACGTTAAATCAATCCATAGATCTCACTAAGCCTTTTTTTAAAAAAATTCAAAAATTATCATTTTTTTACAATTATTGATAAAATAGTCGAACTTTGATCAATACTCTGTTTACTAATTTCCTTGAGCTAGAGCGAAAAAATACAGAAGATTTATGAAATTTGAATTTAACTTGTTTGCGATTGAGGCCTAATTGATAGATTATTTAATGATTGTATAAATTTCGTCTTTCTTCAAATGATCACAAATAGTTTTTCGTTATGTTTCTTTCCGTACACGCATCTCAATTTGTGCACCGTGTACGCGATAACCTCTCACCAGCACTACCAAGGCTCAAACAAATGGGAAAAAAATTACTATTAGTGTTTTTTTTAAAAAAAAGTTGGGGCCAGTTACAGGAATAATTTGGATTCAATCAGCTCTATTCGGGCTTAGAGGATTTGTTATACTATTTTAATAACAGGCTATGCAAAACTTGTATAGACGGAGGTTAATATGATCAGGAACTATTTCAAAATTTAAACTTGTGTGGTTTCTTTTATTTTGCAGGAAAAATTAGCATTTTAAAGTAGGAAAGTTCTTACTTTTTTTTTTTTTGAGACTTTATTCTAATTCTATTTCAAAATCATTTTTTTTCTTAACAGAGATTCTCAATTCAGGTTTTCACTTTTTGATGTGCAAACTACTTTGTCTTTGGTGTGTGCTCTTTGGGGTGTGTGCTAGTATTTCTTTTTGGTGTTTACTTTTTATTTCAGTGCGAGCAACGGTCGGTGCAAACAAATCTTATCAGTCCCATTGCTTTGGTTTGGCATATTTTGAGGCAAATCTTACTTCGATGTTTAAGATCAAGCTAGTGTGTCACTTTTAGCTTCTGTAATGTATTTGGTGGATTTTTTGAGAGACATAACTAAGAGAATTGGGGCAATTAGGACTATAGTTTCTAAAAGGAGGAATTGTAAAGGACAACCAATGACCATCGTCTGGCAGGAATCGTAGGATATTTGAAATGTGATATAGTGAAACGAGTAAGGAATTGACGACTCTAATATGACTATTTCATAGACGAAAATGTGCCCCTCCGCATATAGCTTACGAGGCTTATGGAGCTTTTAGATATATATATGCTATACGATCCACACACACTTGGTAGTTTCCTTTGAGCTTCGCTGCCGCTTCTTTTGTTGATTGTGGAAGTTCTTTTTGTACAAGCATGTCTGAAGGTTTGTGGTGATCTAATGCCTGTGTTATAAGGTATGTGTTTTAGAGGGAAATGAATATAAATGATTCTTATAGCCAATCCAATTAATTTTGGATTGAAGTGAGTTGATTGACTTTCTGTTAAACGACAATATTCGATAAATGTAACTAAGAGAGTGCTAATAAAACTTACTCCCTCCATTCCAATTTATGCGACACTCTTTCCTTTTTAGTCTATCCCAGAAGAATGTTACCATTTTATATTTAGAAAAAAATTTAAAAATAAAAGTTCCCCTTTGCCCTGAAAGAGATGATTTCTAGCCACACAGATATTTAAGGCTTCTTTTAGACCGCAAATTTCAAAAGTGTTCTTGTCTTTCTTAAACTCCGTGCCTAGTCAAACAGTGCCTCATAAATTGGGACGGAGGGAGTAGTTCTTTCTCGAGTTAAATTTTGGAAGAGCGGTCAGAAGAACTGTATATGAAAAGCTTGCCTTTTCCTTTTCTTCTTGCTAAAAAGGAAAATAAAATATACTTTCATGGTTTTCCAAATCCGATGCTCAATAGTTTGAACCAGTAATTGACCTTTATATTATTGCAATTTCTTTCCAGTGCTGTACAGCTTGAAAGAGAGCTATGAGCAGGCCTTAAAAAGGGATGATGTGAAAGCAATTGTTGTGACAGGTAAATGTCAAGAAATCAGTCTCTTTATATATCCGATTGGCTGATATATTAAGCTTGAATATCTAATCTTTGACAGGTGCAAAGGGCAAGTTCTCTGGTGGTTTTGATATCAGTGCCTTCGGTAAACTGCAAGGAGGAACAGGTATGCTTTCCGATTTGATTATTCTCTATTCTAGTGCTGCACGAGTTTTTTAAGCTAACTTCAGTCTGCTGACAGTCGAATCACCAAAACCTGGTTTTATATCTGTGGAGATTCTCACTGACACTGTGGAAGGTAAGTCTTAGGCTTTTGATTTTCCTCCTTGAAGTAAACAACTGGGTGCAGTTTATACATTGTTTTTATATTTTCTGATTTATCCTTGATGTTAGCTGCAAGAAAACCTTCCGTGGCGGCAATTGATGGTCTCGCTCTAGGTGGAGGACTAGAAGTTGCAATGGTACATATAAAGTTATATTTCTCTGCGGAAACTTCTGTTGGTCATTTGCTGACTTCTTGTGTTTTAATATCAGGCTTGTCATGCACGTATTTCTACTCCTAATGCACAACTTGGATTGCCAGAACTTCAACTTGGAATACTTCCTGGATTTGGAGGTAAGCACTCTATGCTTGAGCAGTTATTTTATCTTCATTTTTTTCTGAATCTGCCATCAGCTTCGGTGACATAAATGCTAATATGGTTATGGTTTTTCTTCTTCTTAAAATCAAGCTTGTACAACTCTTCTTCTATTTTAGTGAACGAGCGCGTAGTTAGCTCCTGTGTGTGCGTTGTATCTTATACTTCTTCCAGTCTTATTTTCTTATAAAACTAGGGGGGGACTATACAAAGTTATACAGCCTTTTTTTCGGTTAGAACTGTCTTAGATAGCCTAAAATAAAATTAATATTTCGAGAAGCACTTACAGATCATTATTACTATAAAAATTTGAAAAAATCACGAGCGTTATAGTTTTACCAATTCCAGTTTCACAACTGTGAATTTTTGATTCTTTTTCAAAAAATCAGTAACTGTGAAGTCAAGTATGTTCAGGATATCAAGCCATAACCTAACTTTAATGTCCAACTCTAGCTTAACATTACATAAATAGAAATTTAACCATCTAAGCCGTAGCTTCGACTTCTTGATCACTACTAGAATTTGGAGAATACACCTTGGAGTGTTTAATTTCTAAAACTTCTTCGTATGGCAGGATATTTATCTCTCCTTATCAAAATTACTGGATAATTATCTCTCAAAAACTTTATTGTGGCCATTAAAACAAGTTCGTCTGGTGACCCTCAAGAAAAAACTAAGCTGGTGAAAAAAGGTTTCATGAAATTAAAAATACATACCCAGTTTATCCAAGCATACTTTATCAGATACTAGTACGACACATGTACGTGGTTTAGAATATGGTTGTGGTTTCTTCATAGCCTAGTGCATATAATTCTAGCTTTAGAGCAAGATGTGTCCTCATAGACACACTTGTAAAATCCTAGAAATTTGAATGGAACAGCTTGGAATTCTCTTTCTTCATTTATTGTTTATCCTTGGATCCAAAACATATATTGCAATCATAAGCAGTACTGCTACCACTGTGCTTTTTTTCCCAAACACCACATTTCTTCCTTTGTCTCATTTTATCTGCACTATTTTTTAGGTACTCAGCGGCTTCCACGCCTCGTGGGTCTTGCTAAGTCCCTCGAAATGATGCTTGTAAGCTGCAATTTGCCTTAAGTTATGAGTCATATGTTTTGGCACTATAGTTGCTTGACCTCTCCCTCTCATATATCAATGTAGACGTCCAAGCCCGTTAAAGGAGAGGAAGCTTTTAATGTGGGCCTTGTTGATGCTGTAGTTTCATCAAACCAATTATTGGATACTGCTCGTAAGTGGGCTCTTGATATTTTGGAACGCAGAAAACCTTGGGTTGCCAGTCTTCATAAAACTGATAAGATAGAGCCTCTTGGTGAGGCAAGGGAAATATTAAAATTTGCAAGAGTTCAAACGCGCAGACAGGCTCCAAATCTCCAGCATCCATTAGTCTGCATTGATGTTGTTGAAGAGGGTATAGTGTCTGGTCCACGTGCTGGGCTTTGGAAGGTTTAGTTCAGGCACTAATTCTCTTGTGCTTTCAGTCTAATTACCTAACTTGTGTAATCTAAAACTTGTTGGTATTTTCAGGAGGCTGAAGCATTCCAAGGTCTTCTACATTCAGACACTTGCAAGGCCTTGGTCAACATTTTCTTTGCTCAGCGTGGAACCACAAAGGTTAATGAGTTAATTCTTTACATTAAAATTATTGCACATATTTCAACCTGGTTATGAATAGCGGTTTAATTCTAATTTTTTGTATTCCTTTTTAAACGGAACTGAATGTTCACGTTGAGTTCATATTGGTACCAATTCAGGGTCACTTCTTTGATATCTAAAATCTTTTAGAAAAGTAAATATTACTTTTGTATTCCACTTGGTTAATGTAGAAAGGGCAATCAATTAATAGAGATTTAGGATGTTCCTGCAACGTATGGATCTGAGGAGAAACTTCTAATCTGAGTAATGCTGTAATGGACCCAATGTTTGATAATGCTAAGCTTATTCAACACTAGATGACGTTGTATGACTGCAATACCAAACCTAATTGAAGCTATGTTTTCGCTTACTAGACTTTTCAGTGGCATAGCTTATAGTACATGATATGTGCAACAGTTGTGGTGTTGGTCGAATATGTTAGGCTATGATTATTGATTACTGCATAATTTAATACTTATAACATTAAACAATGAATCTGACGCTTTGCATGCCAGACAGTTTGTGATATTGTTCATCCTCATCTTCTTAAACCCTGACCTCTTGATTCTGCGAACTCTTTTTTCTCACACAAACAGGTACCTGGAGTGACTGATTTAGGATTAGTACCACGACGCATAAAAAAGGTTGCAATTCTTGGAGGTGGTTTAATGGGTTCTGGAATTGCAACTGCACTGCTGCTTAGTGGCTATCCAGTGATCTTGAAAGAGGTTAATGACAAATTCCTACAGGCCGGGATGGGTAGAGTAAAAGGTAAAGCCATCATCTTGCTTTTATATGATAACTCATACTTGGTATGCCAAGTGACTAATACATTAATTTCTCAGCCAATTTGCAAAGCAGCGTCAAGAAAGGGAAAATGAGTCCAGAGAAGTTTGAAAAGACTCTCTCCCTACTCAAGGGTTCTCTCGATTATGAAAGTTTTAGGGATGTGGACATGGTCATTGAGGTCGGTATTCTCATTGTAGGGGACATTCTGTGATTCTTGTTGGTATCTTACTGTGCCCCGCTCTTAATATGTATAACAGGCTGTCATCGAGAATGTATCTTTAAAGCAGCAAATATTTGCTGATCTTGAGAAGTATTGCCCTTCACATTGCATTCTAGCAAGTAACACTTCTACGATTGACTTGAATTTGATTGGGGAAAAGACCAGATCTCAAGATCGTATTATCGGAGCTCACTTTTTCAGGTAATGTTTTCTGAAACCGTGAAAAGTCTTATTGCATTTTTCTTGTTATTCTGTCAAATTGATTGATTGGCTGGTGCAGTCCGGCTCATGTGATGCCACTCTTGGAAATTGTCCGCACCCAGAAGACATCGCCCCAAGTAATTGTAGACTTGCTTGATGTTGGCAAGAAGATAAGGAAAACCCCTGTGGTAGTTGGGAACTGCACTGGGTTTGCTGTCAACAGAATGTTCTTTCCTTACACCCAAGCCGCTCTTTTGTTAGTTGAACGTGGAACAGATGTCTACCGCATCGATAAGGCCATCACTAAATTTGGCATGCCAATGGGTCCCTTCAGGTAAAAGATAACAGTGCTGTAGGGTCAGATATGCCTACCTGTTAAGGTGGCCACATTTTAAAGGTTTGGTTTCCTAAATGCAGATTATGTGATCTTGTTGGTTTTGGTGTTGCAATTGCCACTGGTGGGCAATTTGTGATGAATTTCCCGGAGAGAACTTACAAATCAATGTTGATACCGCTCATGCAAGAAGATAAAAGAGCTGGTATGATTCCCATATTCTGAAACACCGGGCAGATTATTTAGTGAAAAATACAATTTGAAACATTTATGAATGGACATTTGTTACACTTTGTGTAGGTGAAACTACTCGGAAAGGGTTTTATGTATATGACGATAGACGTAAAGCGAGCCCAGATCCAGAAATAAAGAAATATATTGAGAAGGCAAGAGAGATGTCTGGTGTTACCATTGACCCTAAGGTCTCTCTCTCACTCTCTCATCCCCGGCCCTGCCGGTTGTTGATGAATGCTACTGTTGAGGGTTTTTTCAGTAATTATATTCTGCTCTTACTCAACTGTTTTGGACTTGATCCAGCTGGCAAAACTCTCGGACAAGGACATTATAGAGATGATTTTCTTCCCTGTGGTAAATGAAGCCTGTAGAGTGCTTGCAGAAGGTATTGCAGTCAAAGCTTCCGATCTTGACATTTCNCCAAATACATCTGTTCAAGGTTGGATGAGTGGTCAAGAATGTATGGAGACTTTTTCAAGCCTTGCTCCTACCTAGCTGAAAGAGCTGCCAAGGGGGCTCCGCTGGTGAGTATTTTGAGTTTTATTATTGTTATATGATCTGGTATCCATATAGGTTGTGAATTGTTTGGGACAATCTCATGTCGGTAAAACATCTCTGTGATTCTATCTTTGAATAGTGTTGCCATTAGATCTCCGATTTTATCTTGCCACAACTACTTCAAGTATCAGCCCCTTTGTTTTATGCATATGTTGTGGGAGATTGAAACGGATGTGTCTTGTATCCTTTGTTGGCTTAGTGGACAAGTGTCCCTTTTGCTATCTGCAGCTCAGCAGTATGCACAATTCAGTTCAGCCTTATGCCATCATTTCATTGGCACTCATCCTCCACTGTTCGATGCAAGGTCACATTAGTAGTCACGTAAAAGCACTAACATATTGCCACTAGATGATCCTGATTGGTGTGACTGGTAGTTAGTAACCAGATGCATCAAATGCGGAGTACGAAAAAACATCTCATCATTAGACGAGAGAGATAGCTTATAGTAAAAACCCTCCATCTATAAACACAAGGTAGGCAGTTCGGGTCAATAACATAACAAAGTGGAAAAGCGACAGTTGGGCTCCTGAGTAGGGGTTTGGGTGCAAAGTTTTCCATATAAAGAAACAAATCTTATCAATATGGGGTGAAAAGGGAACCCTTGTTAGAAAAAGAGCGAACAACAACTTGTCATCTTATCTTAACTTAAGCCCTTCCCCTATTCACACCACTTGAATATATTTTACTGATAAATTCAGGCAATTGATATTTCTTTGTGGTTATTGCAGAGTTCTACAATGGATCCATCAAAGTCGCGCTTGTAAGCTCAGCAATGCTATTGGGCGTTCATCGAGTTTGTTGCTCTGTTATCTCCTTACTCTGGTCAGTTAAAGCGGAGTGGATAAGGAAAAGTCAATAATGTAGAAATGAAAATGAAGAGCTAGTTTATTATGTAACGTAAAAGTGTAGTTGTCTGAAAATAAAATGAGAGCAAAGTGAAATTGTGAGACGATTATCAGACCACCCCCCGTTTGTCTTTATGCCTTAGATAGTGAACCAAATTGTTTATGTATTGCTTCTGAACTGGGGCTCTTTTGATGGTCTATGCAGTTCTCATGATAGTCAAACATTTATTATTTGTTGCTTCCATACTCATCTCACCTGAAAATTTTAGAAAATTCTAAGTTTGGAATGCTTGCATCCGTATAGAGATGAGTCGATGGGGCGAAACTGTTGAATTTTGATGTTTCAATGATTAATTTTGTATTGTTCTGCTGCTAACAAATTATCAGATTGTTCGAAACTCTTAACACATGAATTTACTTTTGTTCATGCCAATTTTATCTGCCATCTTCCTCAGCCTTACAATTAACTAATTCGAGTTAAAGCAAATCTCATTATTTACGCTATTACTGTCTCTCTATATAATTGTGAGTTTGTATTGGAAGGTGAGAAAAAGAGATTAATTTCTAATAGTCCTTCTTTCCTCGAACCCCGCGTATAGCGGCAGCTTAGTGCACCGCGCTGTCCTTTGTCCTTTATGTTTGGGAAAATTAGCTTCACCTAGAAATGTTAAGTGGGTGGGCTAGGGTAAAAATAACACGGTATAGTCAGTTTTCGGATTGGTCAATCCAAAGTAGTCAGCATTTACCAAATCAATGAAAAATAGCCACTATTTTGCTGCAACAGAGACCGGTCCAATATAATATACTGGAGTTCGGTGAACTTGTGTATGAACTCCAGCATATTATGCTGGACCGGTATACTTTCCCGGCTCCAGTATAATATACTGGAGCATCGATGCTCCAAACTCCAGTATATTATGCTGGACCGGTATACTTGCTGGAACTCCAGTATATTATGCTGGAGTTCTAGTGTACTTAGGCTGGAACTCCATCATATTATGCTGGAGTTCCAACATACTTATTCTGGAACTCCACTATAATATGCTGGAGTTTAAGTATACTTATGCTGGAACTCCACTATAATATGCTGGAGTTTAAGTATACTTATGCTGGAACTCCACTATAATATGCTGGAGTTCAAGTATACTTATGCTGGAACTTCAGCATAATAAACTGGCGTATTTTTCGGGTTTTGAACAATATTTTAGCTCAGATTTATCTTTACATGAAAAATGGCTAAATTTCGATTACTTTTAAAATTGAGTTATTTTTGAACGACCAGTTGTAAATCTGCCTATTTTTGAATTTCACCCTGGGCTAGGTTGTCAACGCGTCATTGCCAAAAAGTCCAGACAATTTATGGTCATAAAAAGTTATTTTACTCTTCTTTTCTCAGTTATTTAACAAGAGCTAATCTGAAATCAAGAAATCGTGATTCGAATAGTGATTCTTTGACCATCATACAGTGAGATCTAAACTCGTGAAATTGCGATCCAACTTGTGATATTTTCCTTAGAGACAAATCTTAGAAATGAATTGGCATATATGGCCAACAGGAGGAATCAAACAGGTGCCAGCAAAGAATTTTCTTCTTTCTTCCATTTGTTCCTTTTCTGTCATATATCCAATTAGTCAAATGTTATATTTCTGTCTTTGGTCTCTGCACGTCTATTTTCATGTTTGAAATTAATCTAAACTTTGCACAACTCTATAATTGTCTGTCTGGTTCCCAGTCCAGTGGAAACATTGCGACAGAGTCCAGGTCGCATTCTTGACTTAACTAAGGTATAGAAATTTCATTGGTACCCGTATTGGAGCTCCAATTAATTCAGATTCGCTCTACATTAGTCTCATTAAAGGGAAATATGTCCCGTGCCAAGATTTTTTTCATTTCAGAAACTCGAACTCAGATGGATAGATCCTATCCATCCAATAACAGTCCTCGGGTCGAAATCTCACTTATATGCAGTTTCATGCAAAGGTCAGATCTACGATTTGTCGTAAGCCGGTTCCGTGGCGTGTGTGGGTGCAATTAGAGACGGACACACACTATAAGGAAAGGTGTCATTGGTATCCAAAAACATCGATAAAAACTTCATTTATACTTGCAAGTGTCTTCAAGCAATAGTCATATATTAGCATAGACCCCCCCTACCAATCTTTATGAGCAGTGATAAATTTATATTGAATATTATGGTACTCCCGCGATTGCTGAATCCCGAGTCAGCCTCTAGGTGCAGGGGCAGAGGCAGCTTGGTAAAAAGGATGTCTTTTACCATTTCATTAATTTCTTTTTCTAAAACCGTAAGTATATGCTACGGGAGCAAGGATTGGATTTCCGACTGCATGACTTGATTCCTCTTCTTCCACTGAGTGCTCGGGGGATAGAAAGCAGGTTGACAGCAAGCATGACGAGAGGGCGAGGTTCAAAGGAGGAAAGGCTTAGGGTGGACACCTAGGCACCCAAAGAGGAGGAAGGGCGTAGTAATCAACGAAATGCTTCGGGGAGTTAGAGGTTGAGTAAGGGGGCGGAGCTTGAAGAGCGAAGCGAGCTGCGCTAGCTTAGCAACGTTTTTCAGCAGCAAGCTACGGTAAATATAAAATAGTTTGATAATTTTCTAAAACCAAATTCACATACAGGTCGAATTGTGGTAACAGGCAACAACGACACTACTTGCACAAATTTCGTGTACGCTACTGTGTATGCACGTGCATGTGAGAGTGATTCGTGCAGGAAACAACCGGCGAAATACTGCAATCACGCCAACTATTAAGAACGATATTTAGATGGTCCATGCTCGTATGAAACAGCTAGCTGTTGTTTTTGAGTGTCAGATTCATGTACATATTATACTAGTGTAATTAAACATATAGGACAAACAAGATGATTAAAAAATGGTTATATATACATACCTTAAAAAAAGCAGTACGGTGCACGAAGTATTCCACATTTACGCAGGAGGTGGAAGGTATAAAGGCGTATCCAGAAAGTGCACCATGAGCGCTAGAGCAGAGGCGGAGCCAGGATTTCACGTTTATGGGTTCATGATTCTAATCGGTTTAAGTTATTGGGTTCCAAATTTATAATTTATACATATTCAATGGATTTTTAAAGGCAAATACAGGGGTTGAACCAAAACTATTGGGTTCGGCCGAACCTGGCGGCACTCTAGCTCCGCCCCTGCGCTAGAGACCCGAGTTTCCGAGACGATGTCTAAGTGATATATTTTTGGTTTAGGAATTTTAAAAGTCAAAATAAAGACTAAAAAGAGAAGGATAAAAAATAAAAAATAAAGATGTGTAACCAATAAAAAAGGAAAAAAGAAACAAAAAAAGTGTGTTTAATTAGAAAAATGGCGGGCCATGGGGATTTAACCCTATTTATTAATTAAAATATAATTTAAAAGAAGAAAGAGGATGTATTAAAGTGCTCACTTGAGCTTGGGTTCACCCGTATTAATTTAAGTATTTGAGTTGAAATTTATTAGTGTTATACATGATTTAGGAAGAGGATGATGGGTTCACGTGAACCCGCCGCCTCCCATTTACATCCGCCCTGGTAATGTAGGCAGTACATAGATAATTTTACCGTTGCTCTAAGGCTCTTCTTTATATACACATACACTTTTTGATAGAAGAAACTTTTGTAAATCATGGAGCTTTGTAATAAGATATCCCTTTATGCTTAATCAGAATCTCGGGTTTGAGCCATCAAAATAGATTTTTTTTTATAAAAATTGTATTTTTAACAGACCTTATGCAACGCAAGTCAGAACTGTCGAGGCTCCAGTACGAATACCCGACGCGGGTGAGAATCATCGTGGAGAGAGAGGGGAAAGTGGTCCATAGAAGTGGTGCATTCTGAAGCAGCCAAATGTTCCTGTGAGCACATGCTTCCTAGCTAGGTTTCATAATATACTAATTAAGTCCAAGCTGATGCACTTAATTTTAATTAATTACAAACAGGTCACTAACCTCTGAACTAGGAATATGGTGAGAGGGTATTCACACGGCCAGAAAATTGATCCAACAGTCAGGGGCGGAGCTAGAGTATTTCGAGCGGGTTCTGCCGAATTCGGTAGCTTTGATTCGAACCTTGTATTTGTTTTAAAAAATTTATTGAAGATATATAAATTATTAATTTAGAACCCAGTAGTTGAATACGACTAGAATTCCGAACCCATAAACTTGAAATTCTGGTTCCGCCTCTGCCAACAGTGTATTTTAATTTGTTGTAGCAAGTAATATATTTTAATTTTATATATATCACTAATTTTGTTATTTATGGACAATTACTTATAATTACTATTTATATGAGTTGATATTGTAAAAAATATTTTGCATGGTATAGAAGTTAGACTTTTCTTTTTCATTCAAGAGTTTAATATTTCATGAAAAAACAAAATATTTTTTTTCCTCATATAGTTTAATATAGAGTAAAGACGATTCAATTTATGCCATATAGTGAACTAAAACGCTAGATGTTGGATATGTCGCTTTAGACGCATACAAGACTGACAATTAATAAAAATAATAGAGGGATCCTATGGTTTCATAGTGAGATCAAACAGTGTATTTGATATTTAGAATTTATTAAATAAATACAAATATTAATTTAGAATCTAGTCACTAACACTTGAAGTCCTCGTTCTAAAATTCAGAATCCATAAGATTGAAATCCTAGCTCCGCCTCTGATTAGGGGTGTACGTAGGTCGGGTTGGTACAGATTTTACAGTTACCAAACCAAACTAATTATGTCGGGTTATTAAATCTAAAGACCAAACAAATCCAATAAAACTTGGGTTTTTCAATCTCGGTTTTTCTCTGATTTTCGGGTTATTCGGGGTTTTCTCTGGTTTTCTTCCGGTAAAAAATCTTTATAGAACAAAACATATAACTTGTGCTCAAAATATTTCTTTAATCCTAGTAAGATACAACTATATAAAGTATTTTTCAAGAAAATAATACAAAATATGAGATGTGTCATGGCATTATCCTAAAATATTCAACAATAAAGACAATAAAATTATGTAATTAAAAAATCATAATAAAAATAAACATAATCTAATAGTACTAAGTCATGCTAAAATAAGTAGACTAATAAAGGAGTATTAATTACATGACTAAACGCTAAAGAAAAAATAAAAATAGGTTATGCATTTTTATCTAAATTATTGTAAAATAAAAAATAAATATCTAATATTAATGGCTATAAAACTTATTGGAACATTCAAAAGTTCTAA